AGCAGATGGCGGAAGTGTCGGAGGATGATGCGTTGGATCCGGAGGTTGGTGGGGTGGTACGTGAGGACGAGGGGGATTCTGTTTTGGTTGTTATTGCGGGGAGGAGGTGTGAGGAATGAGTTGCGGGAAATGCGGGAGACATGGTCGAGGGCGTTCTCGACCACTGAGGGGGGGGGAATGTTGCGGTCCTTGAAAAACAAGGACATCTGAGATGTTCGGGAGTGGAATGCCTCATCCTGGGAGCAGATGCGGCGGAGGTGAAGGAATTGGGAATAGGGGATGGCATTTTTGCAGGAAGGTGGGTGAGAGGAGGTGTACTCTAGGTAGCTGTGGGAGTCAGTAGGCTTGAAATGGATATCGGTTTCCAGGTGGTTGCCAGAGATGGAAATAGAGAGGTCCAGGAAGGAGAGAGAGGTGTTAGAGATGGTCCAGGTGAACTTAAGGTTGCGGTGGAAGGTGTTGGTGACGTGGATGAACTGTTCGAGCACGAGGCGGCACCGATACAGTCATCAATGTAACAGAGGAAGAGGTGGGGTTTAGGGCCACTGTAGGTACGGAAGAGTGATCGTTCCACGTAACCTACAAAGAGGCAGGCATAGCTTGGATCCACGCGGGTACCCATGGCCACCCCTTTGTCTGTAGGAAGTGGGAGGAATTTTCTCCCCTCACCCAACCGTATCTCAAAACCAGCCCCGCTTGTCCCCACCTCCCTAACCTGTTCTTCCTCCCACCTCAAGCCCCACCCCCATCTCCTACCTCCTAGCCTCATCCCGCCCCCTTGACCTGTCTGTCCTCCCTGGACCGACGTATCCCCTCCCTAACTACCCACCTACACTCACCTTTACTGGCTCCACCCCTGCCTCTTTGACCTGTCTGTCTCCTCTCCACCTATCTTTCCATCTTCTATCCGCCTCCCCCTCTCCCGCTATTTATTTCAGAACCCCCTTCCCCTCCCCCATTTCTGAAGAAGGGTCTAGGCCCAAAACGTCAGCTTTCCTGCTCCTCTGATGCTGCTTGGCCTGCTGTGTTCATCCAGCTCTACACCTTGTTATCTCAGATTCTCCAGCATCTGCAGTTCCTACTGTCTCTGAGACACCTGTGGTCCGGGAGATCCAATCGACATGACCAGAGGTCGGGGCCATACCCAATAGGTTACTACCACGCCCCTTTAAGGTCTGAGCTGCACCCATTGATATCAGGGACCGCCCCTACCATCACCCCACCCCCTCATTAGGTGCTGGGTTGGGTGTTGGAGGTGTTGAAGAGTGTTTATTCTCTCAGTTGGATCTATAAATTACTGTGACACTATCTCCATCAATATCAGAGATGTTATCTTCGGTATGCTGACTTATGTTTATCTTTCAAACAACATGTTAACAGATATTGTACTGACTGTGGGAGCTTGCTGTGCATCATTCACCTTTCTGATATTACACTGACGGTCATACAGCATGGAAACAGACCCTTTGGTCTAATTCGTCTGCGCTGACCAGATATTCCAATCTGACCTAGTCCAATTTGGCAGCATTTGGTCCATATGCCTCTAAACCCTTCCTATTCATATACCCATCCAGATGCCTTTAAAATGTTGTAATTCTACCCACCTCCACCACTTCCTCTGGCAGTTCATTCCACACACGCACCACCCTCTGCGTGAAAAAGCTACCCCTTGGGTCCTTTTCAAATCTTTCCCCCGCACCTTAAACCTATGCCCCTCTAGTTTTGGACTCCCCCCACCTCCAGAAAAGAGACCTTGGACATTCACCCTATCCATGCCCCTCATGATTTTATAAACATCTATAAGGTTGCCCCTCAGCCTCTGATGCTCCAGGGAAAATAGCCCCAGCCTATTCAGCCTCTCCCTATAAGTCAAATCCCTGAGTCATTAGCTGGTAGTGAAATGCATTATGTAAATGCACATCTTATTTCTTCTGCACTGCTGTATTGGGATGGAGAGGCTGAACGGCCTTCCTGCACTTACTAAACAAGCAAATCCTAGGAATGGGAATATATCTGGATTTGTGCTCCTGATTGTTACAAGAATAATAGGATATGGCAAAGTGCAAACAGACATTAATCGAGGACAGGTGAAGATTAGGACTTGGTTCTCACTCTTGTAGTCAAATAGGCTAATCCCACATGAAGAGTTATAACCTGGCAAAGCTGGGTCAAGACTTGTGTAGAATGGTACCTGTTCAAGGTCCTGCACGTTTAACTAAGGAGGAGAGAAATTAAAAGAAGCACATTCCAAAAAAGGTATGCCAGCTCCAATATAAAGTTTACTTCAGTGTGTTGAAATTGTACGGCAGGATGACATTGCTCAAAATTTGCATTTCTCTTTGCCTTTATTGTAATAAGAATACAAGAAATAGGAGTAGGAGCAGACCATTCAGCCCATCAAGCCTTCTATGGCTTACACTGTGATCATTGGTTAATCTTGGGCTTTAACTAATTTGGCTTTCACTTGATACCTTGAGGGACCGACAAGTCTTAAATATATTCAAAAATTAAGCATTCTCTGTGGGGAAGAATTATAAGCATTCACAATGACCCTTTTGAGGGAAGACATTTTCCCTAATCTCTTCCTATAGTGCTTTACAAGAGTACAGAGATGGCAGAGGATTATGAAGCTGTTAAAAGCATAGAGACTTTGTTGTGGATTAAGTGTATACCTATAGGCAGGATACAGTGAAATAGGTTATCTATCTCTGACATAATAATTGATACACCTTAAAACTCATTTGTAGGATCTATGCATGCTGAAGATTGTGAGTTGCAATACATGAAAGTTTTAGCTTTTCATTATCTCGTCAGTCTTATTGGTTAGGGTCAGTTTGCCAACGTTTGTAAAGGGGAGTGTTTAAATCAGTTCATGTCGAAGCGGTTCTGCCCACAGCTTTTCTTGTGCCTTGACCATCACTGGAACGAGGAGGATACTTTTAATCAACCTGGAGTAGATGGGACTTGAATGCTGGCCTCCTGACTCAGAGGTAGGGACACTACCATTACACCAGAAGAGCCTGACTGGGAGAAGGAGATGGAGTCTCTCATTCCTTATATCATGACTGCTGTAGGGTTAGCTGAATCTAGAATCAACATCACCTTCCACTTCACTCTGTCAAATCCTCATCCAGTTTGAAGTTTGGATTAATTTCATAGTTCTCTTTGCCAGTAATTTTCTGT